GTACACGTACATAATAAGCTGTCATTTGAAAGTGCCATCTAAATAGGAACATTCTGGCATAGAACCCTGCCTCTATCAACTCAGTGGATATGTATAAGCATCTGTAATGCTTAGAGGGGATTTTAACAATTTCACTTCCCTGAGTGTTTTTAAGAACAGTCTTTCCTGTGAATTTGAACACAAAGTGTATTCAGTGTATTAGGTTACTGACTCTACTTTGATCATACACTGTCAACCTCTTTAACATCTAGAACTAGATGTTGTAAATGAGGACTCATTTGTCCTTCATATACACTGTGTACATAGCAAAGTAAAATAAAATGCATGGACATCAGGTACAGTGGTCAATCTTGCCTCGCTATAAACACATTGGTATAAGGCCCTTTGCACTTTATTCTCCTCCTTTTCTCCTGACCCAGTACAAATGTAATGATATGTACTGATTAGAGAAGTGGTTTGATCATTCCATTTCCAAAAGGTAATATTTCAGTGAATTTTAACAAAAGGATATATACAAAATGTGTTATTTACTACCCTGCTTTTAACATACTTTGTGCACTTCTAAACATCTAGAAAGTTTAGACGTTTTAAATAAGGACTTAAGTCTGCCCACTATATACACAGATTTTTAAAAATGGTGGTATCATATTTACTATAACATGCTTTCCTCATTCTACATTATTTTATTTTGCAGAGTTTTCATGTTAGTACATGTAGATTTTATTTACCTGTTATAGTATTCCATAGAATGGATATACCATACTTTATTTAACAGTTACCCTACCGGGTGTAGTGGCTCATGCCTGTAATCCCAGCACTTTGAGAGGCCGAGGTGGGCAGATCACGAGGTCAGGAGATCGAGACCATCCTGGTTAAAACAGTGAAACCCTGTCTCTACTAAAAATACAAAAAATAGCCGGACGTGGTGGTGGGCGCCTGTAGTCCCAGCTACTCAGGAGAACTGAGGCAGGAGAATGGCATGAACCTGGGAGGCAGAGCTTGCAGTGAGCCGAGATCGCGCCACTGCACTCCAGCCTGGGCGACAGAGCGAGACTCCATCACAAAAAAACAAAAACAAACAAAAGAAACAGTTACCCTATTGATATTTATTTGGATTGTTTCTAATTTTTTGCTCTTACAATAGGGTTAATATGATCAGCATCATACATATGTTCCCAAAATGTGTGTATGCATTCGTCTCTATGAAGAGTAATGGAAGAAGTAGAATTCCTTGGAAGATGAGCATGTACATTTATATTTTAATAGACAATGCCAAGTTTCCTTCCAAAAAGATCGTACTAATTTATAATTTCACCAATAATATAAAGGTACCTTTTTTTTTTTTATTGCCTCAACACTTGATATCCGTCTTTTTTATATTTACCAATCTTTTGGGTAAAAAATAATGTCTCCATATTTTAATTTATTTTTTTCTTATCACCAGAGAGGTTGAAGGCCTTGTGGAAGGTTGATAGCATTAGTTAGCTGTGAGTTCCTTTAGTCCACATTTGTTTACTGAGAGCTTAATGTGTGCCAATCACTGTTCTAAGCACTGGAGTTAAACAGTGAACAGACAGACAAAAATTCCCACCCACATGGAGCTTATAGTAGGAGCTGTCTATTCATAACCTCTGCCTACTTTTCTATTGGTTTGTCATTTTCTTTCTTATTTTCAGGATACATTCTAGATATTTTGGTATATGTGTTGCAAACAGTTCTTCCAGTGTATTCAGCATCACTTTACAGTATCTCTTTTTTTTTTACACAAGGATTTTTTTTTTTTTTTAGACAAGGTCTCACTCTGTCACCTAGGATGGAGTATAGTGGTACAAACGCAGCTCACTGCAACCTCGACCTTGCGGACTCAGGCGATCCTCAGCCCCCTGAGCTGGGACCACAGGCTTGCACCACCATGCCTGGCTAATTTTTTAAAAATTTCTGTAGAGATGAGGGTCTGCTATGTTGCCCAGGCTACACAGAATTTAAATTATCATGGCAAAATACTAATATTTTCCTTTTGAAGTTCTATTTTATGCCTTGTTTAGGAGTCCTTTACTCCTAGGATTTACTTTATTTTTCTTAGAGATGAGGTCTCGTTAGCCCAGGCTGCTTTCAAACTCCTGGGCTCAAGCAATCCTCCTGCCTCAGCCTCCCAAAGTGCTGGGATTGCAGGTATGAGCCACTGCTCCCAGCTATTCCTAGGATTTAGACGTAATCACCTATATATTGCTCTTAATAATTTTTGGTTATATAGTTATTTTATAATTTTGGTTATGTTTTTTAATCTGGAAAAATTAGGATCATTATTTCTTTGAATTCTTTCTTTAGCTCTTGTTCTCTCTTCTCCCTCTGGGATTCCAGTTACGTGTGTAACATTTTCTGTTGCCCCACAGCCCTTATATGCTGTTGTTTTAGGGTTTTTTCCCCTTCTTTTTTCCTTTTTGCATTTTCAGTTTGTGTGATTTCTATTATCCTATCATCAAGTTCACTGACTCATTCCTAGGTAGTACATGTTTTGTTGAGGAACCTATTGAAAGTGTTCATTTCTGTTACCATGTTTTTGGTTTTTAGCATTTCTCTTTGAGTCTTTTTATAATTTCCATCCCTGAAATTATGTGTCTGATTTTGCATGTTGTCTGTCTTTTCCATTAGAATCTTTAACGTTTTAATCATAATTATTTTAAATGCCCAAGCTTTTGGATCCAACATCTGTCATATTTGAGTCTGGCTCGGGTGATGGCTTATTCTCTTCACACTATGTTTTTTCTTGCCTTCTGGGATGTTTTCTACTTTTTGGTTAAAGCTAGACATAAGGGCCAGTAGATACTGAAGGATAGGGATTTGTAACAGTCTAGTCAGGAATTGGGCTGTTGTTTGAAGTCTGTTGCTGTCTGTGAGATTTGTTGTTGCTGTGGGCACCAGAGACTTCAGACTCCTCTAGCAACTTGTTTTTGTCTCCTCTCTTGGATTTGGGTCTTCCCTTTGTACTGTTTCCCAAAGAAACGGCCTGTTACGGCTCGGAGCCCCAGCTGCAGTGGACTGTTATTCTTGGAGACTTGGTGGTGGCGTGTGGGAGAGGGGTTGTTCTCTAATGTTCTGCTTCTCCAAATTTGAACTGGTACTGTGTGCCTGTGTCTCAAGGGTAGTCGTTTGTCCTTTAGTTCAAATAGGTAGCCAGTTCTTCTGAACACAGTAAATTGAATGAGAAATTAATTTTTCCTCATTCATAATTGTCATCTTTATTGTCTACCTTTGTATCTAATTGTCACCTTTGTCTATCTTTTATCATATAACATACAAAATTCCTGTTTATATATACAGTGTACACAGGTCTGTTTTGGGACTCTATTTGGTCTCGGTGATATGTTTGTCTCCATTCTCAAACCGTGTTATTACTACGTTTTGTAATATATTTTGATGTCCAGTAGTGAATCTTCTTTATTATTCTTCATTCCATTTTATTTATTTATTTATTTATTTATTTATTTATTTAGAGACAGAGTCTCACTCTGTCACCCAGGCTGGAGTGCAGTGGCATGATCTGGGCTCGCTGCAACCTCCGCCTCCCAGGTTCAAGCAATTCTTCTGCCTCAGCCTCCCGAGTAGCTGGGACTACAGGCATGGGTCACTATACCCGGCTAATTTTTTTAGTAGAGACGGAGTTTCACCATATTGGCCAGGCTTGTCTCAAACTCCTAACGTCATGATCCACCCACCTTGGCCTCAAAAAGTGCTAGGATTACAAGCGTGAGCCACTGCACCTGGCCTAGTTTTTAAAGATGAGATCTTGTTCTGTTGCCCAGGCTGGCATGCAGTGGCACGAATCATAGCTCACTGCAGCTTTGAACTCAAGCGATCCTTTGACTTCAGCCTCCCAAGTTGCTGGGATTACAGGCATGAGTCACCATACCTACTTCATTGTTCATCATTTTAATAATTGACTTGGCTGTTCTTAAAGATTTTTACTTTCTGATTAATTAGATTCACCCTGTCAAGTTTCTAGAAATCTATTGGGAATCAGTTGAGATTGCATTGGATTTACAAATGGAATTATGAATAGAATTGATATCTTTTTAATTTTGCATTTAATTTTCCCTTCCAGTAACTTTGTATATCTATTTATTCAGGTCCTCATTTACATGAAAGAAAAGTTTAATATTTTTCTTCATAATACTCTTAAACATGTGTTGAAGCCTACCAACCAAAATGTACCAGGAACACATTTGTAGTCGAAAAAAGGTTAAGTTTATTTAGCTTGCTGCATAAAGAGAAATTATACCCCAGAAGAACTGTGGGAGCATCTCAACAAGGGGAATTAGAAGGGCTTCTCAGAGGGTTTAGGCTTGTAATAGATTATTCAAAGGAGGATTAAGGAAGCCAGAGGCCAGCAGAACATGGTGGCTTGCGCCTGTAATCCCAGCACTTTGGAAGTCTGAAGTGGGAGGATCACTTGAGGCCAGGAGTTCAAGACTAGCCTGGACAACATAGCAAGACCCCATCTTCACAAAAATAAAAATAAAAATTTAGCCAGATGCAGGGGTGCGCACCTGTAGTTCCAGCTACTCAGGAGGCTGAAGTGGGAGGATGACTTGGGCTCAAGAGGTGAAGGCTGCAGTGAGCCATGATCATGCTACTGCACTCTAGCCCAGCGGACAGAGTGAGTCCCTGTCCCTTTAAAAAAACAAAAAGAAAGAAACAAGCAGAGGCCAGTTTTGAATCATCATCCCTCTGGAAATAACGTGCTACTAAAATGCTCAGTTTTGAATACGTAATACTCTTATTCTCTCCTCAGCTAAAAATGATTTATTAAAGTCTTGCCCCTTGTAGCAGTAGTGACTATTACATGCGTTATATGTCAGTGATTTATTAATCAGTTTTATCTGGTAACAAAGTGATCATTTCTATGTATAGGAAATAGGATCGCCTTTTGATGTTGTATTTTTCCAAATATATCAGCATAGTGGTCGCATTAAAATTCATTTGTGTTTTTTCCACTCTAGCAAAATCCTTTATATGACACAGAAAGATGCAAGGTATTCCAGTGTGATCTGACCAAAGATGATCTTCTGGATCACGTACCACCAGGGTCTGTGGATGTTGTTATGTTGATATTTGTGCTCTCAGCTGTTCATCCTGAGAAGATGCACCTTGTCTTAGAAAACATTTACAAGGTTAGTAATTTGGGGCCTGTACTTGAGGGTTGGACAGTACAGATTCTTTTACTTACCTTCCCTAATGAGGCTCATGTACTGTCTAGATTCACATAGTCTCTCCATTCTCACTAGGTAGGCTGTGTAGTCAGTGTATAGAAAGGGGTTCTCTGGCATAAAACATCCACCCTAAATTCTGATTTGTGCAGTGCCATGGCTGCTCTTCAGAGCTTTGCCAGCCCTGAGACAAAGATGATTTTGCAGTTACCTGGGATCCATGGAGTCCTGCCATAAGGTGAGAGGAGTTATGGTTCAGTGGTCGAGAGTACACAGTTGGGCCAGGTGCAGTGGCTCATGCCTGTAATCCCAGCACTTTGGGAGGCCAAGGCAGGTGAATCACTTGAAGTCAGGAGTTCGAAACCAGCCTGGCCAACATAGCGAGACCTTGTCTCTAAATAAAGGCTAATGTATGATCATTGGCAGATCACTTAACCCTTTTGAGTATTGGTTTCCTTATCTCAAGTAAGAATAATAATCACATTTCTTTGTCCCACAATTGGGTGATGATACAATGAGAAAATGTATGGTTGAGCTGTCAAATGCTAGGCATAGATCAGTTATTGGTACTGTGATTGAGCTATGTACATTGTGGCACAGTGAAGTGAGAGCTGAGACTCAGAATAAGGAAAACCAACCTGAATCAGTAAAAAGCCAAAACAACATTCTGTTGTTTTTTTTTTTAAGAGGCAGTTGAATACAGTTTGAATACTAGGAAATGGTGAATAAAATGTTGCAAGAAAGTGCTTCGATGAGGATAACACTTTCATTTATTGTCTCTAACACTTTATTTATTTATTTTTGAGACAGAGTCTTGCTGTGTCACTCAGGCTGGAGTGCAGTGGCATGGATGTGGCTCACTGCAGCCTCAACCTCCTGGGCTCAAGCAATTCTCCCACCTCAGCCTCTAAAGTAATTGGGACTACAGAATGTACCACCACATTCAGCTAATTTTTAATTTTTTATAGAGATGGGGTCTCACTATATTGCCCAGATTGGTCTCTAACATTTTAATCCTGTGACATTGGACATTCCAGGGTGCTCTTGGAGGTACTTAAGAAGTGTCTTCAGGGCCGGGCGAGGTCGCTCACGCCTGTAATCCCAACACTTTGGGAGCCTGAGGTGGGCAGATCACTTAAGGTTAGGAGTTCGAGACCAGCCTGGCCAACATGGTGAAATCTCATCTCTACTAAAATACAAAAATTAGCAGAGCATGGTGGCGGGTGCCTGTAATCCCAGCTACTCGGGAGACTGAGACACGAGAATCACTTGAACATGGGAGGCAGAGGTTGCAGTGAGCTGAGGTTATGCCACTGCACTCCAGCCTGGGCGACAGAGCAAGATTCTATCTCAAAAAAAAAAAAAAAAAAAGAGTCTTAGTGTTATGGAGCCCTGCCCAGTCTTACTATGTGTTTAACTAGTAGGCCATTTTGGTTTCATATTATGGGCGTTTCAGTCTGTCCCCTTAATAATTATCACAAATTTATTTTAAGTCCTAATTTAATCAGGTTTTATTTTGATGGAGTTCTCCAAAGTCATATTCAGCCTGCTTTTGTTTCATAGGTATTAAAACCAGGCAAAAGTGTCTTGTTTCGTGACTACGGGCTGTATGATCATGCCATGCTTAGGTTTAAAGCCGGCAGCAAACTTGGAGAAAACTTTTATGTTAGACAAGATGGGACCAGATCATATTTTTTTACTGATGGTAAGATGAATGGAATCCAGTCTTTAAATGTTTTATTCTTTGTTTCTGTTTATTTGATTGCATTATCACTGCAAGGCTACTCGGAGAAGGCTTGTGACATGTGCATGAGCCCCTGAAACAAGCCCTCTACTGTACAATACTTACACAGCACCTGGAAGGCACAGACCTGGCCTCTGCCCTTGAAGAGCTCACAAGCCTTCTATGGTGTCAGTGACTCTCCTAGTGAGCTTGGGTTAATGGACAGCTTCTGACATGCCATGTGGATGCCCTACTAGGAATTGTGATGGAATAAGAGGGAAGGCAAGTCAGAAACTTCTCCTTGTCCACTTAAAAATAAAGCAAATTCGACAACATAGTGCCTTGAGATTACTTTCCCATGGCACAAAGTCAGGAAACCTTTTCTTATAGAAATGATTGGATCTGTTTTGGGGTTTGGTTTTTTTGTTGTTTTTGAGACAGAGTCTCATTCTGTCACCCAGGCTGGAATGCAGTGGTGTGATCTCGGCTCACTGCAATCTCCACCTTCCAGACTCAAGTGATCCACCAAAGCCTCCTGAGTAGCTGGGACCACAGACACATGCCACCATGGCTGGCTAATGTTTTGTATTTTTGGTAGAGTCGGGGTTTTTACCATGTTGCCCATGCTGGTCTCAAAACTCCTGAGCTCAAGTGATCTGTCTGTCTCGGCCTCCAAAAGTGATGGGATTACAAGTGTGAGTCACCATGCCTGGCCTGGATCTGTTTTTAAATAAATATGCAAATTTGCTGTAAAGAGGTGTTTATTTATTTATTTATTTTTGAGACAGAGTTTTACTCTGTCGCCCAGGCTGGAGTGCAGTGGCATGATCTTGGCGTATTGTAACCTCCACCACCCAGGCTCAAGTGATTCTCATGCCTCAGCCTCCCAAGTAGCAAGGATTATAAGTGTGTGCCACTACGCCCAGCTAATTTTTGTATTTTTAGTAGAGATGGGGTTTTGCCATGTTGGCCAGGCTGGTCTCAAACTCCTGGTCTCAAGTGATCTGCCCACTTCAGCCTCCCAAAATCCTGGGACTGCAGGCGTGAGCCACCATGCCTAGCCTATAGATGTATTTAAAAAGTCATTTTTGATAAGAAAATGTGGAACACTGTTTCAGTCTTTTAGGTGTCTTGAACAAAGTCTACTTAATCATCTAGATAGGAAGATAATTACCTTAACCTCTATTTTAACAAACATTTTTCTTCTTGAAACGAAATATTCTTTTAGATACCAAAATGAACTAAAATCGAGTGATTACTGTTAAAGCTGCAAAATTATTTGGGAGTCTGAGGCGGAAGGATCACTTGAGCTTAGGAGTTCGAGACCAGCCTGGGCAACAGTGAAACTTTATCTCTACTAAAAATTAAAAAAATATATATTAGCCAGGAGTGGTGGCATGCACTTGTGGTCCCAGCTGCTTAGGAGGCTGAGGCAAGAGGATCGTTTGGCCCCAGAAGACAGAGGCTGCAGTGAGCTATGATCATACCACTGCACTCCAGCCTGGGTGACAGGGCGAGAAGCCTATCTCAAAACAAAACAAAACAAAACAAAAAAACTGCAAAATTGTCAAAATAGGTTAAAAATTAAAAGATTTCTTAATTCATAAAATTTAAACCAATTGTAAATATTGAGAAGATGCAGTGATATCTGCAAAGTGCTTCAGAGCATGTTCTCTGGAGCAATGCTCTTAGTAAGAGTCTTTATTTTTGCTGCCTAGCCATTTATTCTACTTGTTTCATTTCATGTGTAGTGATGTATTATTTGGGTTAGATTTTCCCGGAGCTAGGTCACCATTGGGTGTTTTTCTCCACTCCAATCACAAATTTTCCTCCTTTGTGTTAGGATGAATAAGATGTTTGATGTAAACAAATTGAACACATGCAGACCTTGTAGGAATTTCGCCAATTTTTATGTTTTTGTTCAGAGATGGGAAACAATAAGAAAAATTTTACAAAGGAATATAATTGGCTGGGTGCAGTGACTCACGCCTGTAATCTCATCACTTTGGGAGGCCAAAATGGGTGGATCATTTGAGGTCAGAGGTTTGAGACCAGCCTAGCCAACATGGCAAAACCCTGTCTCTACTAAAAACACAAAAAAATTAACCAGGCATGGTGGTGTGTGCCTGTAGTCCCAGCTACTTAAGAGGCTGAGGCAGGAGAATCTCTTAAGCCCAGGAAGCGGAGGTTGCAGTGAGCTGAGATCGTACCACTGCTCTAGCCTAGGTGACAGAGCAATATTCTTTCTCACAAAAAAAAAAAACAAAAATATATATATATATATTTAATTTTTTAAAAAAGGAATATAGTCAATTTGGAATTGTTTCTTTTTACTTGGGCTTTTGTATTTGAGAATTCATAATAAGGCAAGATGTGCACACCGAGTTGTCCTTCACCTTGTTCTGATTAAATTGTTTAATTGAAGGTTTCTGTTTGGGTAGAAGAGGAGAAGGAGTGTATTAGTTCCCAAATCAAAACCTTTAAATTTTAGCATTGAGGTTTTCATTTTAAAAAATATTAACATAGCCTCAGCCCCTATCCCTCCTCCTCAAGGACTGCAAAGCAAATGTAATGTTATGAAGAGTTTTGAGCATTGTCGATGCTTGTCTTACAGAATTCCTGGCTCAGCTCTTTATGGACACAGGTTATGAAGAAGTGGTAAACGAGTATGTGTTTCGAGAGACGGTGAATAAAAAAGAAGGCCTGTGTGTGCCAAGAGTTTTCCTTCAGAGCAAATTTCTAAAGCCTCTTAAGAACCCATCTCCTGTGATCCTGGGCCTGGATCATAAGTCCTGACCTTTCATGAGATTGGCATTCATACCTCCCCTTGAAGAGGATAATTTAAAATCACTCTTTTGCCTGGGCGTGGTGGCTCATGCCTGTAATCCCAGCACTTCGGGAGGCCAAGGTTGGGGGATCACCTAAGGTCAGGACTTCGAGACCAGCCTGACCAACATAGTGAAACCCCGTCTCTACTAAAAATACAAAAAAATTAGCTGGACATGGTGGCGGGTGCCTGTAATCCCAGCTACTCAGGAGGCTGAGGCAGGAGAATCACTTGAACCTAAGAGACGGAGGTTTGCAGTGAGCCGAGATCATGCCATCGCACTCCATGGGCGACAAGAGTGAGACCATGTTTCATAAATAAATAAAATCACTCTTTTTACTTTATATATTTTTTGAGGCAGGATCTTGTGGTACGCAGGTCGGAGTGCAGTGGTGTGATCACAGCTGATTGTAGCCTCCACGCCCCTGGGCTTAAGCAATCTTCCTGCCTCAGCCTCCTGAGTAGCTAGGACTACAGATGTGAGCCATCATGCCTGGCCCTTAATTTTTTTTGATTGGCATATAGAGTAGTACCTCTTTATCATGGTTTCATTTGCCACAATTTCAATTACCTGTTTTCAACTACAGTCAGTTACTTTTCTTAAGATATTTTGAAAATATGTCTTAAGATATATTTTCAACTGTTTTCAACTGCAGTCAGTTACTTTTCTTAAGATATTTTGAAAATATCTTAAGAAATAAGATATTTTTATTTGGGAGGCCGAGGCCAGCAGAACCCTTGAGACCAGGAGTTCAAGACCAGTGTGGGCAACATGGTGAAACCCTGTCTCTACAGAAATACAAAAATTAGCCAGGTGTGGTGGCATGTGCCTGTAGTCCCAGCTGGGGTGGGAGGTTGGCTTGAGCCTGGAAGGCGGAGGTTGCAGTAAGTTGAGATCACGCTACTGCACTCCAGCCTGGGCGACAGAGCAAAAGTCTGTCTCAAAAAAAAAAAAAAAAAATTGGAAAGACAGATCACGTTCACATAACTTTTATTACAGCATATTGTTAAAATTGTTCTTTTTTTTTAGGGTTTGGTACCATCTTGGTTTCAGGCAACCACTGGGGGTCTTGAAACATACCACCCGCAGAAAAGGGGGGACTACTATGTACTTTTTGTGTTAAAAAATAGAAAGTGTATGTGTGTGAGAGACATGTAAATAAAACTTCAAGGCCTGAAAAGTAGTGAAAGTTTTATAGAATAACATAATTTAGCCATATTGTTCACTGTAAAATTCCGCAAAGAAAAGCCTAAGGACCCTGTAGCACGTAAAGAGATTCTTGTCATTACTCATGTGACTGTAGTGTTCCTCCAGGCAACATGTCAGACAACCATGGAGTAAAAATGAGGCCAAGTAGACTAAAATAAGACACTCATATGTATTTCTAGCCTAAAGGATTGTTCTGTTTTCTTTTTCCAGTGTCATATTTGCCCATTGGTCTCCCCTTTAGTTCATTTATGTATTTCTTCAAAACCAGTGTTCCACAAATACCACTTTTGCTCTGTCTGTGCTCAAGAACCCTCCATGGCTCCCTACCTGATTATTGAGACCCTTTATCTCTGGGCCAGTTCCTTGTCACACTGTTTGCCCTGGGAGAGAGAGGGGATGGTCATCACCTGTCCTCCCCTCTGCCCCATTTGTCCAGTGCTGTTTCTCTGAGAAGATGGCTGGTGTCTAGAGTTAGAATTTCAGAGTTGAGAGGGACTTTAGAATGGACGTTCCAACTCCCTACTGGGAAATGAGGAAGCAGTAGCAAGGGGTAAATGATGAGTTCAAAATCACGTAGCTAGGGTTGTGGAATATGGGGAAATCCCTAAATTGGTCTGCTGACCTGTTTCCCAATCATTGCCTTTTAATGACGTTTCCTTTATGAAGTAAAATCCAGGTGATTTTGTTCTGCTCCCAAGAGTTAAGCCTGTAAGCCTTTCTGTTCGCCTTTCTGCAGAATGTGAGAACACTGTCTTGAGTATGTGACTGGGCTGCACATGCAGCAGGCCTGGGCCCTTCAACTCCAACCACATCTGGAGGAGGGGTCCCAGTGTGAAGGGGTTGGATGATAGTCATAGTGGTTCCGTACAATCAGAATAAATCCTCCTGGCTCCTGAAGAGAAGAGGGGCAGGCAGCAGGGCTCAATCTGTGCTTGCTGGGTGTTG